AACTAAAATGAGCTATGTCCACTCTAGATGCCAAAATAAAGCTACTAGCTTATAGCAACTCTATGAGACTCTTTATATCCTTTCTAATTTGTAGGAATAGAGATTTTAGTGAAAAAAATAAGCTCCAACAGTTTCTTTAAATAGATCTGTAAATATAAACATCCTTTATTTTGGATTTCTCGCTAGCCAAAGCTGGAGAGCAAGGATGGCTCTCTAGAGTACACACAAGATATACATAAGCTGTTGGAGGATACAAAGATATAAAAAATGATTTTTACTCAAATAACTCTCCAAATGATGATTTAGAGAGTAAATTTTAGAAAGATTCTTAGAGATGCTCTTATTTTAGCTTATTTTGACATTTAGAATAGTTGATGCCATCTTGTCCTACTATTACTAATTAGAGCATCTCCAGTAATACTACCCAAATCAGACCCTCAATTTGTCTTTTTGGATAGCCACCCATTTGGATACTACTTATTTTACGTTGTTTTCTCCAGCAACACTACCTAAAGTAGACCTCCCAAACCCATCCTAGTAGAGAATGGCATGTGGGACCCACATGTCAACCTCTATTAGGTTCTTCCCATGGACAGATGGAGCAGAACTAGCGGGGCGTCGGCATGGCAAGCCACGCCAGGGCAGGTCACGCCTGGCAGGGCAGTGCCGCCGAGGCAGGTCACGCCAGGCAGGGCTGTGCCACCGGGGAGCCTCGCCTGGCAGCGTCGTGGCCTCGTCGGGGAGGGCCACCACACCCGGGGCCTGCCACGCTGGTGAGGCATCAGCCACCACGCTTGCGGCCTGCCGGGCTAGGCAGGGGCAGGATTTGTGCCGGTCAGGGTGGATGCGCTGCCGATGGCTGGGCGGACGCCGGCGGCCTACCGACGGTCGTGGGAAAGCTCCCGGCCAGGCGAACGCGTCGAGCGGTGGACAAGTCAAACGGTGCAGGTCATGCATGGAGTCGCGTGGGGGAGGAAGAAGCGTGGTCTAGGATTTGGGTGGCCGAGTAGGGGGCTAAGAGGAATGGGTAGTGGCAGGGAAAATAGGAAGCCAACAAATCTGGGGGGTCTATTAGGGGTCTGCTGGAGCTGTTTTTTTCATCCACTATCCAAATTGGGGATATGGGTCTAGTAGAGGGTGTTGCTGGAGATGCTCTTAGGCCTCATTTGGTATAGCTCTGCTTTACCGGTTGAGTATTTTTTTTAGCTTCTGACTCCATGGGCAGCTCCATTGTTGGAGAGAAAGCAAATTTGGAAAAACGTATGGTAAAACAACTTTTCATAGTAGATTTGAGAGATGGAGTTGGAAGAAGCTAGTATTTTTAAGGTCCATCTGCCATTCACCCCTTATGAGAATGGATTTTAAGGAGCTCCACTTGAGGAACTATTTCATTTTAACCTATTTGGCAAAAAATAATAGCCTTAAACAACTCTTGAAGCTGCTAAACAAGCTATGCCAACCGGATCTTAGAGGCATCAACGGAGTCTTCATGTTAATTCTCACCAGATACTCTAGAAACAAGACAAATTATAGAAATTCTAATAATAATTAAAAATATCTGGTGACGAGTATCTAAAACCTGGGTTACCTAAACGGCTAAACCCACCACTCAACACGCCCCGAGGAAAAATTAGTGGAGGCAGAAAATTAAGCATGTGCCCCCTCGAATCACAGTTTTTTTTTCACGCACAAGCAAAGGATGGGGAGTAGTGCAGTAGAGAAGATGAGTGGAGGGCGCAGGAGGGAGAACAGATGGAGTTGATATTTTTTGCTCAGTGGGCCCCACCCTGTCCTTAAGGTATATTTTTTTAGAACACTTTTCACCTTAGAATTGCATGCTTTTCCGGATGGACAGAGTACTATTCTTCACTACAAATTAAATTACTCAAACTTAGGATTTATTTTTTAGAGTAGTAGCCAAACCAAGCCACCTACTCTCGATCTAGCAGAGACAAAGTGACAAAACATACTCATCTAGTAAAAGAAAAGGCGATGCTCCTCCCACTACATTGATAAGGTGATGTAAGAATCTATTTGGTCAAATTATGTACTCTCTCCTTCCCTTTTTAACTGTCGTTCTCGCTTTCCGAGAAATAATTTTAACTAAATTTATATAAAAAATATTAATATTTATGATATATAATTAATATTATTAGATTGATCATTGAATCTATTTTTATAATAAATTTATTTAGAGATATAAATGTTGCTAATATTTTGTACAAATCTAGTCAAACTACCGGCACGTAAACCAACGGCGACAAATATTTAGGGAGAGAGACTATCTAATGTAGTGGATGTCATTCAGAAAAGACATGTCGACATGATGTAGCCACATGACATGTGCCAAACCTTTGACCATAGGGCCTTGTTTAGATTGTAAGTTTTTTCACTCTCTCTCTATCACATCAAATCTTTGACATATGTATGGAGTATTAAATGTAGATAAAAAAATAACTAATTACACAGTTTGATTGTAAATTACGAGACGAATCTTTTGAGCCTAGTTAGGTCATGATTGGACAATAATTATCAAATACAAACGAAAGTGATACAGTGCCAAATCTGATTCCTAACCTCAATCTAAACAAGGCCTGGATTTCGAGGCTATGATCCTCCACTGCTGGATTTTGTCTTCGCGTCTGATGTCAGGTACCTGTACATTTGTTTCCGTGCAAACACATGAAAACGGTTCTGTTGCGATCATAGTTTACATACTCCAATCTATAGAGAATAAAAAAAACGCGTACTTGTTTAGAGAGGGGGCATCTTTCGGTCTGTGCGTACTGCCGTACATCCCATAGTTGGTATAAGTAGTAGATAAGATCGATTATATGTGAAAGCATCTAGTGGTTGCTGAGAAGATAAGCAGATCGAGATAGCTATAGTATGTTTATACCAGTGAAGATGTGTCCTGGCGTGGCTGTAAACAATATTATGTGCCATGTGCCAGCAATTGTAATATAGGGGGCCGTCATCGGACTTTAATTAACACTAAGTGCCAAATAAAGTTGACTGCAGACTTCGTGAGCATTTAGTTGAATACTCCTATGTTGAATTAACTAGTTGAACCAGTTGAATGGATAAATAAAAAGCGGAATTGAATTCAAGTAATTTCTAGTAAAAAAGGAATTGAATACGTTGAATTAAATACGGCCATACAATTTATTTCATGATTGGATCCCATATTTAAGAGTGAAAGCCATTTATTCTATCAAAATATGGTACTACGTAGGATTGAATAGATACGAGGTCCCTCAAAGCTCGGCGTCCATGGCAGTTAGCAGAGGGGTGGTCGAATGACAATTCTGGGGGTGGGGATTCACAGTGAAAATCAAGGTATGGTGAGTGTCATACCGCGTCCTCAGCCCCTGGCTTCAAAGTGTGTCCCCCACAAAACCACAAGTACTTTATCAACGTGGCAAGAAGAAAAGGGTTACGAGAAAGAAGAGAAAATGATGATTCTCACTTAGGCCTTTATCATGTAACATGCTGTTCAACCATAGGAACAAGCAGTACGTCCTGAAGAGCGTAAAAAATTGGAAGGTGGTTGCCCACAAGGTTGAGTGAAAGCAATAGATATGGAAACAACCAATATTTTGGTGTCCAAGGATATCATTACCACTAAGGATGAGCCTTAAAAAGTTTGTGTTCCGGCGGAATCTGTATGAAGCCCATGGCACGGATTTAGGGGATTTATTGGAGGCCAAGGTAGGAGGCCTACCAATGTCGTCAAGATATAGGGGCAAGATAAAAGCACTAATCAAGTCATTAGACATCCATGATATGTCATTTCTTCCACTTTATAAATACATCTTTAACCATCACTGACGGTTTTCCGTCAGGGAAGGTAGACTTTCCCTGTCAGTTTATCCCTAACGGTTTATCCCTGACGGTTGCCGTCACAGATCACTTTTCCTGACAGTATTAGCCGCTTTCCCTGACGGTTTCGGCCATCAGGAAAAAAATTGCCTGGGGTAGTGCATACAATCTAATTTAGCTACAAAAGAAAATAAACCAGTGTACCTAGGCATCATATGATGGGATGGTCAATTATAAAGCATGGCATTAATTATAAGCCTCCTGCATATTACAGTGATTTCTTTAAAACAATCTCTTAAAGCAGATTGGTCCCATTTTCTTTCCCATTCTCCAAGCATGTTGTTTGCACCCAAAATTGGCAAGTCCCGACTGTTCAGGGAAAACACGGCCTAGCCAATTTTCCGTTTTTTGCAAATTTGTCAAACTACAAATTGACCTTTACCATTACATTCCTGTCATCTAGACAATCGAAATGCACATATATAACATTCGGTTTAAAATCTGGATGAGATAATTACGGTTTTGGGAAGATCCATGCCCATGGGAAACCAGCTATGCTGGTTTTGGTCGCCTAAAATCAAGTTGGATCGGAGCTGTATTCTGATACAGTTATGCTACCTCTTTAGATATAGGACCAGATTTTCATCAACACGTCTGCCGAGTCGGGCTCTTGCAAAACTTCCTCTTCTCTTTTTTTTTTCTATCCCTTTATCCTCAATGTAATAAGAAAATTAAATGTGTGGCGTGTGAGAGCTATATTATATAATCCATATTGTACAGCGCCCAAAACAAATTTTTGGAGAAGGCAACATCCATCAATTAAGCAACAAAGTTGAGCAGTTACTTAGCTAATCTTCATACCTTTTTAAAAAAAAAGAATTATGTCAAACTTTTCAAGTTCGAGGAGCATGTGCACGTGTCGGTCACCAATGGGAAGGAAGGAGAGTAAACCAAAGACAGAAGAGATACCGCGTACCAGCTTTAAAAAGGTCGCTGGTAGTCCTAATTTCCAAACCTACTAGAGTAAGGTGATACCAATAACAAGGCATTTCTCTCTCCTTCTCCCCCTCTTTCTTCCTCTTATTCTCTCTCTACTAGCTAGTCTCCAGATCCAGCTGCTTCCTGATCGATCGGATTAGCTCAGCAGATTAATCTCCGAGCGAGCTCCGTGTGCCATCATGGTTAGGGGAAAAACAGTTATCAAGCGGATCGAGGACAAGACGAGACGGCAGGTGACCTTCTCTAAACGGAGGAGTGGGCTGTTCAAGAAGGCTAGGGAGCTGGCCGTCCTCTGCGATGTGCAGATCGGCGTGCTTGTCTTCTCTAGCACAGGTCGCCTCTACGAATACTCCAACACAAGGTGATATTTGATTGTTCTTGAGATTCTGTTCCAGTTCCAACACAAGCTGGCCGTCCTCTGCGATGTGCAGATCGGCGTGCTTGTCTTTTATTGATAGGAAAACTGCTTAATCTTGTACTTGAATATAATGTCCGCAATATCATTGCAGGGATATGTATATATTCTGGAACAAAGATGGTCAAGGATAAAAAATCAAATATATAGTTCTTTAATACTCCCTGATTAGAAAATAAATTTTATTTCACATAAAATAATAGGCCAATTCTAGGGATATAATATCTTCCTTTCTCTCCATTTACCAGTGCAGTTGACAAGTTCTCATTTTGTTCTCTCATATTAAATTATCTGTTCAGATAGCAACTCTAGCATTGACCCTCAAATCAAAGCCCCTACTTAAGATTTGAGAACTAAATAAAAGACTGAAATTATAGAGAAAGCAAAACTATATATAATTCATTATAACTATCTACGTACGTGTCTCAAAACCGAGCCGTGGTCATTAGACAAAGTAATCACTTTACTGTTGCCAATAGAAAGTCCACTTTTTTTTATCAACTCGTCACTTTGTTTGTAATACGAAACATCATCTCATTAGCTTACCGTCAGTATTTGAGGTAATGAAGGTCATATTAGAAACTTACATAAATTCGTAACATTGCAACAAATTTACTCATTGTAATGTTAACTTCCTTCTATTATTTTCAACTAACAATTGTTTATTTGATCAAGTGACTTGCTTGCTCGTTGTGTTTGACCAGCACGAGATCTATTGTTGAAAGATACCAGGATATAAAAGATGGCAATCGACTCATGAGCACGAGCACTGAAACTAAGGTCTTGTGCAATGCTATCAACTTTTAAGTTATTCTCATGCATTATTAGGTTCATATTGAGACATTACTTTTATGTTAGTATATAGTAGTAGGCAAAATTTTCCCTAACTTCTTTGAATCCGCATTATGCATGTGGTTCTTTTCACCTATTGATTTGTTAAGCCACGTGCTTAATAATTGATCTTAAGCAGCTTCTATGTTTAGGAGTCCACAAAGCTCAGAATTGCTAAAATCAAGGTAGCCGGAGCAATCATATGTATGTGGCAACTTAGTAAACCTTTTTTTCCACCGTAGACTTTTATATTATTATTGTTATCCTTAAAGAAAATTCACTACCAAAACCATGTGATCACCAGATGAACCACTGGGTACCAAAACCCTGCGACAAATCATATGGTGATACGACATTGCCTAATTTTTCTATGTTAGAAAAGAATATGTCAAAATATTCCTCACTAGATGATCCACCTCTATCACTATGACATGCCATCAGAGCATACGATGAACTCTAGTAAGCATGGCCAGCCGAACTTAGGTTTTCCATAGTTCCACTAGATGATCTGCTAGGCTCCCAAAGGTGCCATAGGATCATATGGTGGTGACCAGTACACATGGCCACCTTGAACTAGTTGCTACATAGTTCCACCAAATGATCTACCGGAGGTCACAAAGACACCACTGGATCATATGGTGAAGACTAGAAACTTAGCCAGGCTATGAGTTCCAGTCTTGCATAGTGCCATAGGATCCTCTGTTGCCTTTGAATGATTGAAACGGTGCACAATCTAGAGCACTTTCTGCCTCTATCTTAAGCCGAACATTGTCCAATTTAATTTCTTTGAGATCCATCTGAAATTCTCCATCTGTTACAGCCACTTGTGAAATGATTTGGTACGAGTTACTCATTTTATTTGCATACGGTTGCTCTAAAATTCAAATTTCCATTAAGCTACTCGTTGTCAATCCCTCTTAATAGTACAACCAAAGATGAAAGAAAGACCTAATTTTAAATCCAAGTGCCTCCCAACACCAAGTATGCACTTAGACACTATATAGTCTTTAGCCTTTAAGGATATCCTTGCATCCATATTTAGTTCAATTCACCGGGGCCAAGACAACTATGTGAGCTCAAATTTGACTAATCATTTGTTAATTACCTACAAAAAAAGTTAGCCACATACCCTTGTATTCATCAATCACTGAAAACCAAAATTGGGACCGGCTGAGTTAAATCTACCTCTTTTTGGTGATTCATGACAACACAAGTCCAACACATGATAAGAATTTAAAGGTTTGGGCCTCCTTGCTTTCCAACAATCACTTGTCTCAACAATACAAATGTAGAATGAACCCCTAAAACAAGTCTCATTGACATGATATATAGTATAACAATAAAGCACAACTAGTCACACAAGAGTATAGGTTAGCTAGGCAAGCAACATGTGCACGAAGTACATATCAACCAAGAGAAACCAACAAAGAGCTAAAGACCTATCTACCCCTCTAAACTCCCCTAAATCTCTCACCTCTCCTCTTTAGCATCAAAGGACCAAAAACTAAGTGACAAATGTTGATAGAAGATGCGCATCTATAGTCTGGGGAGTCACAATATATGTATTATGAGATGTCCTTATAATCATCTTTTGAATCTTTTGTGTTCTCCCTTAGACTAGAGTCTCCTGAAGGTACTTCTCAAAATCCTTCGGAATAGTAGACTCTTTACCAAAAGCATGTAGAAGCTCTAGCTGAATGGACTCTTGAATTGTGGAGACAAAAACAGACTCAGTGTTTGTTGGCTTCTATGTGGTCTGGACAAGCTTAGCATGAACAATGGTGGCCTTGGTAGTGATACATGAAGTAGCAACACCAGCCATCGGAGCAGTTGAGGAATCCTAAAGGAGGAGTCACTGACAGATCATCTGAGTCGGGTGAGATAGTGCTATAGGGTGTCAAACAATCTAGAGATAGACGTTCAAACTAAAGGCTGTTTGGTAAGAGAGGGAACATTGATCCAAGTATAATGTCCAATGTATGGTCCTGGGGAATCTGAACAAGAGGAGGTCCTATATTATGTCCAATAGTAAACTAAGGAGCCATCAAGCCAAACTCTAAGCCCTACTGCTAAAAGAACAAGATATGAGGAGCTGCAAACCGCAGGGTTGCACTATAAGAGAGTGAGATGTCATGGCCTAAACTGAGGTATGGCAATGCCAATCTGCTGAAACAGGTGTGAAAATAGAAGAGTGGTCTATTGGTTGTCTTTGTCCTCACAGTTTTGATCAATCAACAAGTTAGGATACAGTACGGGTATTGAACGAGTGGATTCAGATATAAATTATCCATTTAGTATCTAAGTCCCTTCGGTTGGATATGTTGGAACAAGACACATGTTTGGGGCAGATTTTCTATTTCATTAGCCACATAAACCATGGCAGGATTAGGGTACACATAGGAGTAGCAAACTTGCAACTTAAGAAAGGATTACAACATATTCTGAAGTAGATGTTGAGTAGATGCTAAAGCAAGATAATAAGATAAGGTGCTGACATATGCACCAACTACTCCTAAGATAAGCATCCTAGATAGATAGGCACAAGACTTATGCTTTCATTCTCCCCCTAAGTCTTGTGTGGCGCCTTCTAGGGAATTTGAGCCATCCCAATTCTAGCGCGAAGCTCCTGGAACTTGACCCGCCCAAGAGACTTGGTCAGGAAGTTGGCAAGCTAATCCTAGGTGTTGATGTAGTTGGCCCGGACACTCCCCTCATCCAAGTAGCACCTGATGAAGTGGTACTTGACTTGGATGTGCTTGTTGCGTTCATGGAAGACGAGGTTCTTTGCCAAGGCCAGAGCGGACTTGCTGTTCACCCTGAGCTCCACTGCTTCAACATCTCTGCCAAGGAGGTCACCTAGCAGCCGAGCCAGCCAGAGAGCGTGAGTCAAGGCAGTAGTGGCAGCGATGTACTCTGCCTCACAACTGGATAGAGCCACCACCTGCTGCATGACTGACTGCCAGCTGATCAAGCACTTGCCAAGGAAGAACAGAGTTATGCTCGTGCTCTTGCTCGTGTCGATGTCGCCGGCATGGTCGCTGTTGCTAAAGCCAATGAAGTGTGCAGTGCCGAGACACCTCGAGTAGTGCAAGCCTTAGTCGGAGGTACCCGCGATGTACCGTAGGATCCTCTTGACGGCCTGCTGATGCTCCATCGTAGGTCGCTGCATGAACCGACTGACGTAGCCGGCGGCAAACGCCAAGTCCAACCGCATGTGGACGAGGTAGCGAAGGTTTCCCACAATGCACCGGCACTGCGTGGTGTCAACCTCCTCCGACGTGTTGTCACGGCTCAACTTCAGCCTCTCCTGCATGGAAGTGTGGGCTAGGTTGCAGTTAGTGAGCCCGCCCAGCTTGACGATGCGCTTGGCGTAGGCGATCTGGCGGAGAGAGATGCCGGAGCTGTCCTGGTGGACCTCGATCGCCAGGTAGAAGGAGAGTAACCCATAGATACCACTTGTTGGAACAAGATACAGGTTTGGGGCAGATTTTTCTATTTCATTTGCCACATAAACCGTGGCAGGATTGGGGTACATATAGGAGTAGTAAACTTGCAACTTAAGAAAGAATTACAACATATCTAAAAGTAGATGCTAAGTAGATCATTATCTAAAAAAAGATGCAAAGTAGATGCTAAAGTAAGATAAGAAGATAAGGTGCTGACATATGCACCAACTACTCCTAAGATAAGCATAGATTGATAGGCACAAGACTTATGCTTTCAGGATATTCTTTTTAGAAATATTCATACCATTTACACCCCTATTCACGATACAATTAACTGCTCCCAGTTTTTTGACTTTCGGTTAATTATGGCCTTTTACAGTTGGAGTGTTAATTTTGCAAAAGTAGTACACACATTTCTTCAATTACATTTACGTTTTCAGTGTTTATTCTACAAAGTAAGATATAAACTGTATGCTTCTTTGCTGTCTGTTCCTGCATGCAGTTTTGGCAAGCTGAGGCAAAAAACTTGAGGCAACAACTGCATAACTTACATGAAAGTCATATGTATGACCCCTTCCCATCCCCCTAGCCCCACCTCGCCTCCCTTTGAATTATACGGATGTGCAGTGTTTTCAAACTAACAAGAATATTCCAGTGTGCATCCACTACTCAACAATGTGGTTTTAAATATAAGTGTGAAGAAGAAGAAGAAAGTACTATTTACCATTCCCCAACAACATGGTTGCTCACATGTAATGTTGTCTTGGTGTCGTGTCCAACATGAATGCAATGCATGGACATTTTAGTAATAAATGAGCTCTCTGATTTCCCCATAAAGAAAGAAGAATTAAAAACGT